TCTCTCTTCTAGTTTTGTCTTTGTAGTGTAAGGATGTAGCCTATTTAGCTCTGTTGTTATTTTCATCCCAGTTACCCTTCCCATGCTAGGATTTAGTAAAAACTTTATATTTTAATCACGCATGGACTCTCAGTCTGAATTATTTTACTCTGGCTCTGCTGGGCTATATTATCTCTGCTAAATACCATTTTTTCAATATCTCACTATCACCCAACACATGGCTCTGAATCGTCAGGGGCCCAGTGCCGCGTCAAAGAGGAGAAGGGAACGGGAGGCTGCTCGGGGGAGTGGGGGCTGAGTAGAACCAGCTTATGACCAGTGTTCCCTCTAAGCTGAGTGAGTGTGAGCTAGTTCACGGTTTTTTAGCCTCCGACTCACACAATTTTGTCTCAGCTCAGGAAGGGATGGGCTCCAGAGCAAACTGATTTCTGCAGTAGCCAAATGGCTCGCTCACAACTTTAATGCCAGTAGCTCACAAAGTAGTTTTTTGCTCACAAGGCTCCACAGCTTAGAGGGAGCCTTGCTTATGACTGGAGGGTCTCCGGCGCCACTTGCTCCCTGCCCCCCACCCTTGGCGCCCGCTGATCTCCCCACCTCACCTGCTCCACTTCCCGGAACACGCGCAACAAGTTGCCTGCCAGGGCGCTCCTCACTTCGTTCTCCGTCCAGTTCCTCCGCAGCAGCTCTGCAACCAAGTCTGGGTACTTGGAGACATCCTCCAAGCCAACCGGAACTCTGTGGTGCCGGAGAGCGCCAAGGTGAACCCCGGGAGCAAGAGCCCAGCCTTCCTTGCCCTGCCCCAGCAGGGGCCCCAGGAGGAGGGAGGACCCCACCAAGGGCCCCAGCAAAGATGGGGGGCACCCAGCAGGAGACAGGCAGCATCAGCGGGCCCTGCCGGAGGGGCCAGGAAAGAGAGGCTGCAGGGAGACCCACCCCAGGTCAATCCTTGGCACCCGTAAGCCCCGAGAACCGCCTGTCCTTGCTGGCCCTTTAGCAGGCTGTCCAAGGCAGCGACCGAAGTCGTCTCCAAGCCAGGCCACGTGGCACCCTGTCCCAGGCCGGAGTGTCTCTCAGGACCAGCCTTACACTGGAGGGGCTTGGCTATCCAGCAGGGTTTCCCCCCACCCCACCCCAAGATACCTGCCAACGCCATCGTAGTCTCCTCCGAGTCCGACAGCCTCGGCCCCAGCGACCCGCTTGACGTGGTCCATGTGGTCTGCAGGCAGGAGCAGCAGCAGCAGCGGGTCAGGCAGCCCTGGGGGTGCTTCAGTCCTCCCCACCCGGCCTCCTTCCCCCGCTCCTGGACTTACCCGCCACCTGAGCGAGGGTGGCCTTAGAGCTGCAGGACACGTAGTCATTGTAGAAGTTGACCATCACGAGGCCGCGGGTCTCTTTCTAGGGGGAGAGGCCGCGGGGCGAGGTCAGGCACAAGGAGGGGGCTGGGGCCTGTGAGCCGTGGCACCCTTTCCCTTCCCGTCACAAGGTCTGGAGACCCGGCTCTGCTTCTCACCCTGATGCCACCCAGCCTGGCTGGCTGGCTGGCTGGCTGGCTCCGGAACAAACCCAGTTAAGTGATCACACAGTGAACAATACAACATCGGGGGGGAGGGGGGGAACCATGCGGAAAGACGCTGAGAAAAAGAACAATCAGGACAATATACAAATAAGCAACTCTTAGGAGGCACTATTCAAATTAGAGTGGTAGTAATCAGGGGTCGTTTCCTGCAGGAGTGCACAGGAGTGGACCTCTGGCAGTAAAGAGCCCAGGGGGCGGGCACATGCAACAAGCCCCACCCCCTGCTCCCAGCAGCCCTCAGTCAGAACAAGAAGCAGCCAGGTAAGCTGCAGAGCCTTCCCCCCGGCCCCCCAGTCCAAAACAGTCCAGTGGCACCTTTAAGACCAAGTTTTATTCAGGTACAAGCTCTCCCTCTTCTGCAAGGGCAGATCTGCATGTTCCCCCCCCCCCAAATAGCTAGCAATCCAAAACAGTCCAGTGGAGCCTGAGCGGTGGGTGTTGCCTTCTGACACACTTCCGGTGATGTCAGGGGGGGTGGCACATGCAAATGAGTTATGCTAATGAGCTCCTGCACCTCTTTTTCTGCAAAATGACCCCTGGTAGTAATACATGTATACTTACCTTGGAAAACCATGATGAATGCTTATGATGTACTCTAATCAGCCTCTACTGAGGAAGGCTTTGCACTTGTACTGTAGACTTGTTCTATATTTGTATATTTACCTGTTGGAAGACTGGAAATACATTGCATGCTACCTGCTGGAATACTAAATATGTTTATTATGTGCTGGGTATTTGTAGATGCTATACATGTATTCCTACCACTCTCATTTGAATAGTGCCTAAGAGTTGCTTATTTTTACACTGTCATGATTCTGTTCTTTTTCTTAGCGTCTTTCCGCATGGTCCCCCCTCCCCCCCATATTGTATGGCCCCTGAACAAGCCACAGCGAAGAGTTCCAGCGCTGTCTGCATCAGCCTGCACAGGTCCCACGAAGGGAGAGCTTTATCTGCTTTGCACCCTCCAGAGAAAGAGAGGTGACTGCATGGGCTATGAATCCCTTGCAGCTCTGCAAGTAGGAATTGCCTCTCCTCTCCAAGGCCAGGTTGGGGAGAAGAAAGGGTGCTGATGGGCCTTCCTAGGGGGCACACATCCAGCCTGTGCTGAAAGTGCTGCACTGGCTGCCGATAGCATACCGGATTCGCTTCAAAGTGCTGGTTCTTACCTTTAAAGCCCTAGATGGCCAGGGTCCGACATACCTACGGGACCGCCTCTCCCCATATATTCCTGAACGAGCACTACGGTCCGGGACTAAACATCTCCTGGTGGTTCCAGGTCCCAAAGAGGCCAGACTAGCGGCGACTAGGGCTAGGGCTTTTTCGGTGGCGGCTCCTACCTGGTGGAACGAGCTCCCAGAGGAGATCCGGGCCCTGCGGGACCTTGCACAGTTCCGCAGGGCCTGCAAGACGGAGCTCTTCCGCCAGGCGTTTGAGTAGGAGCCGCCACGACTGTTACCATCTGTCCTAGCCCTTATTACCAACTCGCCGTGAGTGCAAAAGTGGTGGTACTGCGTGGAACTGTGGCCACTAAGGATACCACCCTGGTGACGTCATCGGTTCCCTTGTTAGTTGTTGTGGAGAGCGCTTATGTTGCACTGAATGTTTTTAAAATGCAGTTTTAATGTTTTATGTACTGGGCATTGGCCCCATCTGTACGCTGCCCTGAGCCCGTTCGCGGGGAGGGCGGGTTATAAATTTAAATAAATAAATAAAGGGAACCAGTAGGGCTACCTCAAGGGGGTCAGGCGGGGAGCTGCCCCACAAGATGAGAGCCGGGATGTCTTTCTTGTGGTGGGGGTGAGGGGGGGCTTCTCTTCCTCCAAGCTGTCCCCCACCAGTGCCTCTGGCACAAGCCCGCCCTGCCCGGCCCTGGCCTCACTCACCACTCGGAGGAGCACGTCGTCGGGCACGTTGCGTCGGCTGGGGCAGATGGCGTAGGCAGAGGAGTGACTGAAGATCACTGGTGCTCTGGAGACGCTCAGGGCATCGTTCATGGTCTCCACCGAGACGTGAGCCAGGTCGACCATCATGCCCAAACGGTTCATCTCCTTAACCACGCGCTGAGCCAGGGAGGGGGAAAGGGAGATTGGGAAGATCGTGCTGTAGAAGCCAGAACCCTCTGTGCGGGGCAGGGGCTGCGTAAGGGTGTACAGGCGGGTGTTCCTGCAACTCACTCACAATAGATACTTCGAAAGGCCATCTAGAAAACGGAGTGGACTTGCCCTGAGCAACGCCGTTTGTGAACCCACCCACTCTGGGCAGGTGGGACGCTGCGGAGATTTGGAGGATAACGGAATACATGGCAGGTCACCCGAGGAGTAGAGGCCTGGCTTGGATTGCATGGCTTAGGTTTGCATCCAGCCCCCTGTCTTTTCCGGGTGAACATGGACCTCTGGATGCTGGGAACCTTTTCCAAAGCGGTAGCGCTTGCGGGGCTTAATCTCTATCCATCAGGACATCTAGGTAAGTGGCAATTGTGTTAGTCTGTGCGGTTTGGAAGCGGGTGATTGCAATGCTTTCAGGGAGAAGCAATAACTGTTCCTGGGCCGTGTCCTTTCCCGTGGTTTTCTCCCTGCAGGGGACTGAATCTTTCATGCCGGGAGTGCAAGTGTGGAAGCAGGGCAGAGCCTCTGAGCGGAGCGACAAAGCGTCCCTTGCTCCAGGGGCTGCTCTCCCACCACAGCAGAGCTGCCCTTCTGCCGCCTGCCTGCCTTCTTCCTTCATCTCACCTTCCCAAAGCTGGAGAGCCCGTGGTGCACTGGCTCCTCTGCCGCTGTGTCCACCAGCCAGTTGTCAGCCCTGCCGAAGGAAGCAAGCAAGAAGGCAGCCAACGAGGAAGGGGGGAGGCACAAAGGGGCAACAGCCCCCTCCTGTGTCCCCCTCCTGAAGACAGGCCCACCCCTCTGTTTCCTCCTCCTCCCCCCAAGGGCCAACCCATGTTCCCCTCCGCTCCACCCCCAAAAGAGCCCATGCATGTGGCATGGGCCTTGCACACCGGATGTGACCCTGCCTGGCCACTGCCCCCTTGGACCTGCGGCTTCTTCAGATGCCTGCAAGCCGGCTGTGTTTACTGTGTGGCAAGAGAACTGCACTCTGCACAGGCTCGGGGGTATCTCATCTCCTCCATCTCTCCCACACAAACAACCCCACGGCTTCAGCTGGCCCGAGGCCTTACCAGGGGGTGTTGCAGCTGTGCGTGAGGGTCATATAGCGGACCCCCAACTGGTAGAAGGTGCGCAGGACGCCCAAGCTGCTGTCGATGGAGTGCCCGCCCTCCACGCCAATCAGGCTGGCCACGTGGCCCGTGTGGAAGGCTTCCTCGATCCCTGCAAGGCAAGCATCCCCTGTGGGCGCAGGACCAAGCCCAGGGTGGGCAGAGAGAAGGGGCAGGGGAGTGGCGGCGGGTGAAGCGGCCGCAAACTGCTCTCTTCTTGCCTGGCCTATGCCTCTCCCCAACATTACTGGATTCAGCTTGGAAGAGGATGCTGTGTGCCACGTCAGTGATGAGTGGGGGAATTCTGGCAAAGGCTGCTTCTCCTGACAGGGTCTTGCAATGAGGGAAAAGCCGGCACTTGCTGAATCATCCCTTCTACCCCACTGTGAAAAGTGCCCTGTGCAGAAACCGGCAGCTTCACCAGCCTTTCACCATCACAATGGCATAAGAGCCAGGTCCCCGGGTGTGGGCTGGAGGCTGCAAAGGGAACCCTCTCCATGGCACGGCTGATCAAACGGGCACCTCTCCTAGACATAGGATCTGTGGTGGGTGGGGTTGGGATACCCCTCTTCCCCCACCCTTACCGGCACTGTTGGTGACGCACGTCAAGGCTTCCGGGTACTGAAGACACATCCGATGGATAACATCAATCTGTTCCAGGGTCCGCTTCACGGCATCCTTGTACTGGGTCTCGCAGGGCACGTAGGCGGCCCAGAACTGACCGTGAGAAAGGGGAGCAAAAGGTGAGTCTCTGGGGTAAGCTCAAAAACTGTCTGGCCCTTGGAACCTGGGTGCAAGCCTCACAGCCACTGGGGGAGGGGATGTGTTGGTGCCTTAGTAAAGGTAAAGGTTCCCTTGCTCGAAAGCCAGTCGAATCCGACTCTAGGGTTGCTGTGCTCATCTCTGTTTCAAAGCTGAAGAGCCAGCGCTGTCCGAAGATATTTTCGTGGTCATGTGGCCAGCATGACTCAACACCAAGGCGCACGGAACGCTGTTCCCTTCCCACTGAAGTGGTCCCTATTTATCTACTTGCAATTTCTTGCTTTCGAACTGCTCGGTTGGCAGGAGCTGGGGCCAGAGATGGGAGCTCACTCCGTCATGCGGCACACTCAGGTCTCGAACTGCTGAACTACCAACCTTCCACAGCCTGCAGTTCAGCATCTTAACCACTTGAGCCACCGCAGCTCCTTGGCACCTCCACAAACCTTTGTTGGGATATTTGTGAGTTCTCTTCCTATTCGTCATGAAAGCATTTCCCCACTTGTTATGCATGCTAGTTTCTAGTGAGAGATCCAACAGAATCGTCTGCACATTTTTCCTGCTAGAGCAAGGTGATAGAATACATAATTAGCCAGTGTTGGGATTCTTCGATTGGTTAATCAATAGTTTGGGGATGAGCCAAGGGAGAGAGCACGGGGTTTCAGTTTATTGCTCTTTGTCCTTTCTCCCTGAAGTTTCCTCCGAGTCTCAAGTTAAGTTCTTAGAGAAGCGACATGTAGCTTAGAGCTAGTGAGGATGATTTATTTTACTTTTGTTCTCCAAGTTCCCTTTACCTAATCTTTAGAAAAGTTATCTTTTTATAGACAAAAACACATGTGTCTGGCTGCTTCAATCTCATTCTGCTATTGTTGAACCTCCATACCTAACAAAAACACTCATACGCTGGGTGTTAACAGGTATCACAATCAATTAACTCTAAGTACAGTCTTGAGCACCTTGCAAAGACAGGAACGTCTGTGCAATGTTTGAGAGCAGGAAGGAGGCATGCCGCGGATCTTGGTCCCACAGAATGTTTCCTGCAGCATCCACCGACAGCTTGAAAGCAACCCGAATACATAGCAAAGGTTTTGTTTCATAGTATGAAGACTGGCAACCTAGCAGTTTGAAAGCAAGAAATTGCAAGTAGATAAATAGGTACCACTTCGGTGGGAAGGTAACAGCGTTCTGTGCGCCTTGGTGTTTAGTCATGCTGGCCACATGACCACGGAAACGTCTTCGGACAGCGCTGGCTCTTCAGCTTTGAAACGGAGATGAGCATCGCAACCCTAGAGTCGGATTCGACTGGCTTTCGAGCAAGGGAACCTTTACCTTTACCTTTATGAAGACTGGAGATAGGTTTTTTAAAGTGCTTGTGGGCTTAAGAAGATGCAAAATGTCTGACTAGGAAGAGCCCTTCCTGCATTTCTGTGCCTCCCCTCTGATCCCCTCCAGGTCTTGCCCCTTACCTGTGCCCCCACATGTCCCATCTTCAGCTTGGGGAGGTTGGTGTGGGTGCCTTGGAGCTGAGACAGATTAGCTGCCGGCAAGGAGAGCTCGTTGTTGAACCTGCTGAGCATCTGCCAGGGTAAGTCGTTGTGCCTAGAACCAGAGAGGGCAAGTGGCTGAGCGAGAGCAGAAGCCTTGCCTTCAGACCGCTGCCTGAATTGGGGACCATCGACTGTTCCTGCATCTCCTGGCATGGCAGACATCTGCCAGTCTATTCCAGAGAGGCTGTGGTTTGAGATGCATCTCTCTTTGCCATATACACCTATTATAGAATCATAGAATGTTAGAGTTGGAAGGGACCTTGCAGGTCATCTAGTCCAACCCCCTGCACTCTGCAGGAGCATAGCTGAAAGAGAGCCCTACATACCTACAACATACCCGAAAGATGGTCGTCCAGCCTCCGCTTGAAAACGTCCAGCAGAGCATCCACCACCTCCCGAGGCAGACTGTTCCACTGCTCAACCACTCTTACAGTTAGGAAATTTCTCCTGATATTTAGCCGGTAACGACTCCCTTGTCATTTCCACCCATAGTCTTGCAATTTTTGCAATATTATGGTGGTGGAGGAAATTTTGACATGAGAGTTCTGGATCTCTTTTTGTGTGGTTGGTTGCCGGTTGTTTTATTTGGTTGGATGTCCAGTTCTGACTTCTGTTATCAAACTTTGCTGGTCTTTGCTATTAAATATTGTACTTTTTAAACTGTTGTTTTAGCACCATGGTTTTTTAAAAAACTGATTCTGCAGACCCTCATAAGGTAGAAGGACAGGTGAGAAATGTTTTATTACATATATACAGAAAGCTGCTTCTCTGGAATTTTGTGCCATACAATCATTTGCACATTGCTTGGGCAACATAAAGTCCGAACGCACTTGAAGCTGCCTTATACTGGATCAGACCGTGGCCCATCCGGGTCTGCACAGACTGGCAGTGGTTGTCCAGGGTCTCAAGCAGAGGTCTTCCATGCATCATCTACTGCCTGGTCCTTCCAGCGGGAGATACCAAGGATTGAACCCCTAGGACCTTCTGCATGCCGAGCAGATGCTCTACCACTGAGCCACCTGCTGGCCTGTCCAAAAGTTTCTTTCTCAAGCATGTGCTAACTGATCAAGAATAGCTGCTAATGAGCTGATTGTCATTTCCTGGCCATGTAGTTAATTAATATGGAAGCTGAAAGCAGACTCAGGTTCTCCAAACCAGGAGGTAAGCTGATGTCAAAAACTTGGGAAGGTGATCTTTCTCTGCAATGCTAAATCCTCCATAAAGCTGACTATGCTTCAGCTGTCTCGCCTGGAGTTTTAGTGTGTCTGTGGCTGCCTCCTGCTGTTGATAAGGAGGGGTCCCTGTGGCCTTTGAATCTCCACCTGCTCCCTCTAACAGGGAGCTTTGGCAACGGAAACAGAGTGCTTTGGCAACCGCATTGCAATTAAAAATCTGGCCTCTCAAGACCACATTTGCTAGCTCTCATGTCCGGAAACTCGTAAGCTGCAAGAAGAAACCACGCCAACAGAATCGCTCCTCTGGATCCAGCACCAGGTCCCAGCTGAGAGGAACTGACCAGAGGACAGAGGAGCAGGCTTCCCTTAATCTTTCGCCTGTGACTTGGACGGCGCAATCTCACCTGATCTCGGAAGCTAAGCTGGTCCGGCCCTGGTTAGTATAAATGAACACATGAAGCTCCCTGACAACGAATCAGACCCTTGGTCTATCAAGGTGGGTCTTGTCTACTCAGACTGGCAGCCGCTCTCCTGGGTCTCAGGCGGAGGTCTTTCCCAGAACCTCCTGCCTGGTCCTTTCAACTGGAGATGCTGCTGGGGACTGAACCTGGGACCTTCTGCATGCCAAGCAGAGGGTCTGCCACTGAGCCACAGCCCCTCTTGACAGCTCTCCAGGGTCTCAGGCTGAGGTCTTTCCCAGAACCTCCTGCCTGGTCCTTTCAACTGGAGATGCTGCTGGGGACTGAACCTGGGACCTTCTGCATGCCAAGCAGAGGGTCTGCCACTGAGCCACAGCCCCTCTTGACAGCTTTCCAGGGTCTCAGGCTGAGGTCTTTCCCATCACCTCCTGCCTGGTCCTTTCAACTGGAGATGCTGCTGGGGACTGAACCTGGGACCTTCTGCATGCCAAGCAGAGGCTCTGCCACTGAGCCACAGCCCCTCTTTACAGCTCTCCAGGGTCTCAGGCTGAGGTCTTTCACAGAACCTCCTGCCTGGTCCTTTCAACTGGAGATGCTGCTGGGGACTGAACCTGGGACCTTCTGCATGCCAAGCAGAGGCTCGGCCACTGAGCTACACCCCCTCCCTTCACCCTGGGTCTAAGATGTTAGAAATGGGTGGGAAAGCACCAAAGAAGGCCAGGGTCTCTATGCAGAGGCAGGCAGTACCAAACCACCTCTGTTAACCTCTTGCCTTGAAAGCCCTACTGGGTCTCTGTGTCAGCTGTGACCTGATGATAAAAAAGAAAAGTGGCATTTAGAAAGGGTAAGCATTGGACATAACGGCAGGCTCTTTTCTCCCCGTAAAACGAAGGTTGCTTTCTAGGTAGACAGTGTGGCTTTTTACGGGAATCATTGAGTCATTATGTCCCTGTGTGCTGTGCTAAGGTGCAGGTGGATCCCTGCTGTAGGGACTGAAGGACAGTGTCGGGATCACTTCCTTAAGACCTCCAAACCAGGCTGTTCAAGAGGGGAAAGGCACTCTGGGCATGCTCAGAGGCACACACTCACAGCTCCCCCTTTCCTCGAAAGCTCAGCATGGAGCTGCATTCTCCCAGCACTTCTCTTCTTGTGGTGGCCTCGAGCCCACTTGGGGCCACCCAAAGGAAGATCGGTGGGTTCAAAGACCTGGAGACCGAAGCCCCCGGCTGCCCTGGCCAAGTGCCCCCCCCTTCTGCCTCACCCCAGAGCCTGCAGGGAGCTTGCCAGGCACTGGGTGGTGCCAAGGACGTTTGCCCGATCACCTAGTTCTCCTTGCTGTTTAATGATTCGCCTCCTGAGCAGACCCACCCTGTGCGAAAGCCAGAGCTAAGGAGCTGCAGAGCCCAAGGGAGGAAGGGCAGCCATGCCGGATCAGGCCCAGGGCGTGGTCCATCAGGTGCAGCACCCTGGTCCTCGCAGCAGCCGCCCAGATGCCTCTGGAAGGGCTACAGGCCAGGGAAGGAAGCCCAAGGCTCCCGCCCCCCCACCCGACTCCAGCACTGGCATCCAGTGGGCTACTGCTGGGGTGGGGGTGGGGGGCTGATCACCAAGTTGAGTCGGCTCGGATTCGAGGGAGTCGTCTGATGAAAGCAAGGGCTCCTCCAGAAGGCCACAACCCCGAGGATTCTGGAGCTGGCCAGAAGAGCCCAGGACGCTGAGAATCTGGGGGGCCGGCGGTTCTCTAGCCCACGCCAAGTCCCGTCCGCACCTTTCCTTTTGGCTGGGCTCCTGCTTCCCAGCCAAACAATTTCTCTCTGCCTCTGGAGAACAAGGAGGCTGGCCAAGGAACATAAGAACCTACGGAAAGCCAGTGTTGGATCAGGCCCATGGCCCATCCAGTCCAACACTCTGCTTGTCACGCAGGGGCCAAAAATACCAGGGGCCAACAGGAGGTCCACCAGTGGGGCCAGGACACTAGAAGCCCTCCCACTGTGGCCCCCCTCCCCAAGCACCAAGAATGCGGAGCCTCCCTTGCCCCAGACCGAGAGTCTGAGTGAGTGTGGCTGATGGCCACTGATGGACCTCTGCTCCATATGCTTATCTAATCCCCTCTTGAAGCCGTCCCTGCTTGTAGCCGCTGCCACCTCCTGTGGCAGTGAGTTCCATGTGTTAGCTCTGCTTAGTTCTGCTGAGCCTCCAGGGATGCCGGGACAGCTCAATTCGAGTCCAGTCGCACTTTAGAGACCCACAAGATTGTCGGGGCAGGGACTTTTGAGAGTCCAAGCCCCCTTCGTCAGAGGGGCACTTCAGAGAGATGCCTTGGCTCTGCCCAGCCCACCTCTGGACGGCGGCCCGCTGGACCAGATTCACCACCTGGAACTTGCCACATGTGAAAGGGCTGGTCGTAGTGAAGCTATTCCCAGCACCTTAGACACCCCTGCTCACTCGCTTTCGTGCAGTAGTGAGACCCAGACTTGGCCGGCAGCCCGTCTCCCCCGGGAGAGACTCCCCCGGTGGGCCACTCCTCACGCCAAGCGGAAGGCCCTGACGGGGCGGGTCTTACCCATCAATGGCAGGGGTCGTGCTCATGATCCTCTGGGCCTCCAGCAAAAACGGGTCTGCGGCACAGAGGAGGAGGCCGGAGAGGAGCAAGCAGCTGGGCAGCAGCATTCCGGCGAGGGGCCTGGGTGGGTGCTGGGCGCAGGAGGTCTCCGAGAGGCGTGCAGAGTTCTCCTGTAGGGAGATCCAAAAGTGGGACTCTGAGAAATGTGCCTCTGGTCCCAGGAGAGATGGTTCCCCTTGATTCCTGCCGCGGGTTCCGCCAGGCAGGTGCGGGTTGTGGGCCCTGCACGCCACCTCGGGGTGAATAAATAACTGCTTGGGAGGAGCCAGGGTGCAGTCTCAGCTGGCCGAACTCCCACCACCTGGCACACAAGGGTGAAGTTGGGGGGTGGGGTTTCGGCCTCCTCCCCTCCCGAGGGGAATGGATATTTCCAGGGGGGAGCTGCAGCTCGGGACACATGAGGCCGCCTCACAGTGAACCAGACGCCCCCCCCCCTCCATCAAGGTCAGCAATGTCTACTCCGGTGGGCAGCAGCAATTCCAGGGGGGGGTCTGGAAGAGGTCTTTCCATCACCTACTGTCTGGTCCTTTGTCCTGAAGATGCTGCAGATTGAACCTGGAACTTCCTGCATGCCAAGCAGAGCCTCTGTCACTGAGTCATGGCCCCCTGACGAGCCTGTACGCGAGGTGGAGAACCGCAGAGAAGTCCCTGTCTGAACATCTCTGTCTGCTTCTGCGCCTGAGCCCTCAAAGTGACTTCCAAATAAAAGCGCGTTTAAACTATAATTGTCGACCACGAAAACTTCATGTCGGGTAACCTGAACTTCAAGCTTTTGACGAGAAATGGGCTCTTGTTCCCAAGCATCTGCAACAATAAATGTGTTATTCTTGAAGACACCACAAGACATGTTACAAAATGTTTGTGGAGCAAAGGTGCGCTCATTCACACCGCACCCGAGGCTTGCCTTTTGTAGAAGCCCAGCAGCTTCTGGCATGAATGAAAGCAGATCCCAGCAGTCAGGAGCTGGGAAGGCCAGAGGCCAACCAGAAGAGCCCTGCTGGGTCAGACCAGTGAGGGTTCACCTAGTCCAGCATCCCGTCTCACCCAATAGCCAACTAGTTCCTCTGGAGGGCCAACAACAGGGCAGAGAGGCCGAGGCCTTCATAAGAACCTCAGAAGAGCCGTGCTGGGTCAGACCAGGGGGGGGGTCCCCCTAGTCCAGCATCCTGTCTCATGCAGTGGCCAGCCAGTTCCTCTGGAGGACCAACAACAGGGCAGAGAGGCCTGGGTCTTCCCCCGATGTGTTCTCCTGGCACTGAGATTCGGAGGCTGACTGTCTCTGAACATGAAGGTTCCCTTTGGTCACCATGGCTATTAGCCACGGATAGACCTGCCCTCGGTGAATCTGTCTAACCTCAATTTAAAGCTGTCTATGTGTAAAAGGCCCTGACTTGGATAGCCCAGGATGGCCTGATCTTGTAATATCTCAGAAGGTAAGCAGGGTTGGTCCTGGGTAGTATTTGGATGGGAAACCGTCAAGGAAGTCGAAGGTTGCTGTCAGAGGCAGGCAGTAGCAAAGCCCCTCTGAAAACCTTACAGGGTTGTTGCAAGTCAATTGCGACCTGACAGCAAGAAAGCCAGGAAGTGCAAATGAGCTGCAGATGAAATGCACACAGACACTCATCTCAGAAGGAGCATCCTAGGAGTGCCTTTTCTTCCCCCGGGCATTTGGAGGGGGAGGCGTCCTCCCTTGGAAGGATGCTTGGCAACCTGTCCCTCCTAGCACCAGTTAAACCGGCTGTCAAGGCTGGAGGGAGGGCAAGACCCCTCTCTGCCTCAGGCCTCGGAGAACCCTCTGCAAGCAGAGGAGACTGAGGACTCTCCCGTTCACTTCCGTCCAAATAGGGCAAACCCCTGTAGCTTTGCCCCAGACTTCTTGCCACTTGCATGGGAAAGCAGGGGGTGCTGAACAGCCTGTCTTTAAGGTACAAGATAAGCGTCAGCCATGTGAACACACAGGCCTTAAACACCTGTGGGCAACTGGCACTGAGGCCCGCAGCTACCGGGGGGACGGAGGAGGAGGGTGCATAGTGCCAGTGTCCTTCAGAAATAGGCCATGCCCCCTCTCTGAATCCCCCAGCTTTTATGGAGGGGGGGGGAGAGGGGAAAAAAAGCCTGGCCCTTTTCATTGTGGAGATATAAGGGGAAACATGCAAGCAATTCCCCACAAGATCTCCTGTGAAGGAATGAGGTGGTGAAAACAGCAACAGTGGCTGGGGCTGGCGGTTAATTTCACTTTATCCAGCTCCATTTTCTTATCTGTTCTGTCCCACCACCTTTTCTCCCCTTGCTTCCTTCTGGCTTGTTTCTCTGCTCTTTCGTGCCCACAGGGCCAAGACAGAACACTGAGCAGAGAACTATGCTGGGGATTGTTAGGAAAGGAACTGAAAACAAATCAGCCAGTATCATGATGCCCCTGTATAAATTGATGGTGCGACCTCATTTGGAATACTGTGTGCAATTTTGGTCACCACACCTCAGAAAGGAGATTATAGCATTGGGGAAAGTGCCGAAAAGGGCAACTCGAATAATTAAAGGATTGGAACACTTTCCCTATGAGGAAAGGTTAAAGTGCTTGGGGCTCTTTAGCTTGGAGAAATGATGGCTGAAGGGTGACATGATCGAGGTTTATATGATTATGCGTGGGATAGAGCAGGTAGAGAAAGAAGTCCTTTTCTCCCTTTCTCACAATACAAGAACTCGTGGGCACTCCATGAAACTGCAGGGATGCATGCATTCTTGGTGCTTGGGGGGGGGGGGCAACAGTGGGAGGGCTTCTGGTGTCCTGGCCCCACTGCTGGACCTCCTGAGGGCACCTGGTATTTCTGGCCACTGTGTGAGAGAGTGTTGGACTGGATGGGCCACTGGCCTGATCCAACACTGGCTCCTCTTATGTTCTTATGAACGGGAAAGAGATTTATTCTATTTTGAGGTTGCCCTCTCTATTTGCAATGGACAATTTGCCTAAAGAATGGGTGTGTGTGTGTGCGTGCAGAAGCAGAGAAATCAGTGCCCATTTTCGCTTCACCCGGTTCATCATCAGTTGCAAAGCACCTTGCTGTGGCTGGTGGAGGAGCATGTATGCCTTTGAGCATGTGCAGAGTGACTTTTCCTAACCCGTGGGTAACCACCTCGAAGCTGAGATCAGAGCTCAAGGAGCAAAGGAGGAGCAGTCCCAGAGAGGGCGCGGCACCCGGCGGTGTCAAGCGTCCGGCCAGCAAGTCCGACGGTTCACGCGGCTGGTTCAAGGTGACGTCCCGCCGCGGGGACTGACTGGAAGGACGCGGCCCGGTGGCAGAGCCCTGCTGCAGCGCGCTCCTGCCCCCGGCCGACAAACCCCAACTCCGCGCCCGCGGGCACCAAAGCCCCTGGGAGAGCCC